ATTAATGGTTGAGATTTTCTCATAAAACTATCAGGAAGTACATGAAAGCTTCACTCATTTCCACTCATGTTCAATGACTTGAGCTACTTCTTGCTGAACAAGAGGACCATTTTCAAATTCAGAAGAATGAAACTGCCCTACAGCTTGTGTATTGTTCAGAATGCTGGAGACACAGGGTGACCCTCAGAGATTAACAGCTTGCACGCATTAGGTACTGCTGTAAGCCGGGCAATTATTGAACCCCCTTGCAGGGAGTTCCCCTGGTGCCAATTCCATGGTGGAAACACCACCGGAAGTGAGCTGTATGTGGGGTGTGGGGTAGGGGAATGAATAAAGACTCAGGGCGCAAATAAACCACAGCATAAACAGTGGACTGGGGTGATACCTAAGAAGGAAGAGCCCAAGCATCCCTTACCTCCTCATTTACATAACTCACTCTGAAGGACGCCATGCCAGGCCTCCTACCAAGCAAGGTGGCCATTGGGCCCCACCCCTCCCTGCTTGGTGCAGTTGCGCCCACCAGAGGCTACTGGCCACAATGATCTCTGGGATCAGTTGCAGGGCAGAGCCCCATCCCCAGTGCATGGGTGCTTGGGTCTGTCCAGGATAGAGGCATGCCCACTCCCTTCACCCCTGCACAGGGGAGGAAAGACAGGACAGTGTGGAGTTGGGGGCCTTCATGCAAAGGTTCTCCAGCAAGGTCTCTTTGTAGTGGTCACTGTTTCAGATTGAGGCATATGAAAGGAGTACTTAGGATTTTAAAATTGCACCTATGCTATCCATGGTCTTAGACACAGCCCTTCCTCCTGAAACCATGTTGGAGAGGTCTCCCTAAAGCTCACATCTTCAAACTGGAGCAAGTGCCTTCATGCACTTTGGACTGCATTTCCATGGTTTCTGAAAATAGTAGGTCCTGCCTCCAAAATTGTCATTAAACAATTCTGACAAGAGAGGAAAAAATCTATCTGGCAAAGAAATTTAGACTTGGGAAACATTTGAAGAGAGACTTTAATTTCACTTTCCTCCTAGAGTTTTTCCAAAAGCACAGACTGTAGTGGAATATTTTCTCAGAGTATTTATTTAGTTCATGGAGGTTTTTCAATAGATGTTGGTTCACAGGTTTCCATTGCAAGTTTGCTGTGTAGTGTTGCTCAAGACTTGATTGCCTGAGCCGGTTTCTGTTCACCCTGTAGTATGGGAAATATCCACCTTCACTTCCCTCCTTTTTTTGTATTATACAGCAGAACTTGTGTTGCATTGGAGTCTTTCAGGGAATGTTCATAGTGGGGAACAGTCATCACTAAGAATATTGGTGCTAAAGCAGGGAGTGAAGCTTGTTTCCCTGGAGATTCAGTTGCAATCCTCCCAAGTTGTCACAACTCACCTCTGTTGACCAACTTCCTAAAAATCCTCTCCTCTCACAACACAAAACACAAATGCCCATTCACATCATTTGACCGTGATAAACTGACATTTATGTACCACGTGAAAATGAGAATCAACAAGGTTTCTAAGGGGTGCAGCGTGATTGACGTGCAGATGGAACCACATGCAATGATGAGTTAGGTGCCCAAGAGCAGGGCTGCATGTGTGAGGCAGACAGGAAACTTGGGAGCCAGTGAGCAGGGCTTCCAGGCTCAGCCTGGCAAACTGAGACTTAGGTGGATGAGGTTTCTGTAATGGGGGTTGGATATGGCGGATAGAATTCTGGCTTAGTTTCACAGCGCACATCCATCTCATGTGCAGTGCAGTTTTAACACCTGTGAACACAGGAGGTTAGGGTATTAAGCCCTGTTAGCACAAGGAAGCATCAGATTTTCTGTCTTCCCATCCCTTACTTCTGTCCTTACCGCCACTGAACCTACATGTTCATGCTTGTGACGGCTCTCGCAAACTCCTTATCCTCCAAAGAGCATGCTTGTTTCATGTGTGTGTGCACCTGTGTTTTGTGGTGGAGCCAAAATGCACACTGTAGTCCCTTTAATCCAAGTGATCTTTCTTATGGGGGGAGTAGCTAATAGTAATCTACTAAGTTACTTGTTTCGTAGAGTTCCCAGATAAAGTACAAGAGGCCAGTTGAAAATAAATTTTACAAAACACTGAACAAATTTACAGTAAAAGTATATCCCAAATATTGCAGGGGACACAATTATCCTAAAAACTAATTAATTGTGTATCTGAAATTCAAATTCAGTTGGGTGTCATTCTTTGCTAAATCAGGCCTCCTGAAAAGATTTCAAGGAACCACTGACACGGGCCTCCCGTGGGAAAGAGGACTGTGCCGCTGGGGAAAGAGGCAGGAGAAAGACTCGTCACTGCGTTTCTCATCTTGGACAATTTGCCTGTGAATTATGCAAAGCTCTTGCTTATTTAGAATATTAGATAAAGATCATTCAAAAGGTAAAAAATTAAACATTGAAGAACATATTACTCCATGAACTGGACAGTTATGTGCAAAAAAATGAAACTTGAGCACCAACTTACACCATACAGCAAAATAAATTCAAGGTGGATAAAAGATTTAAATATAAGCTGTGACACCATTAAAGTCCTAGAGGAGAACATCAGCAAGAAAATCAGATATTTTATGCAGCAGATATTTCATGCAGCAACTTTTTTACTGATATGTCCCCTAGAGCAAGGAATATAAAGGAAAGAATAAACAAATGGGATCTCATCAAAATAAAAAGCTTCTGCGTGGCTAAAGAAAACAGTATTAAATTAGCAAGACAACCAACTGTATGGGAAAACATATTTGCCAATGATACCTCAGACAAAGGTTTAATCTCCAAAATATACAAAGAACTTACATGACTCCACTCTAAGAAGACAACCAACCCAATTAAAAAATGGGAAAAGGACTTGAACAGACACTTCTCCAAGGAGGACATACAGAATATCCTGAGACACATGAAGAGATGCTCAATATAGTTAGCTATCAGAGAGATGCAAACTAAAACCACAATGAGATACCACTTTACACCAGTCAGGATGGCTATCATAAACAAAGCAACAAACAACAAATGTTGGAGAGGTTGTGGGGAAAAGGGGTCCTTGGTTCACCATTGGTGGGATTGCAGGCTGGTACAACCATTATGGAAAACAGTGTGGAATTTTCTCAGAAAAATAAAAATTGACCTGCCTTTTGACCCAGCAATTTCACTGCTAGGATTATATCCTAAGAATCCTAAAACATCAATTTCAAAGAACCTATGTACCACAATGTTCATAGAAGCACAATTTACAATAGCCAAGAGTTGGAAGCAACTTAGGTGCCCATCACTAAATGAATGGATCAAAAAATTGTGGTACATATACACAATGGAGGTCTATGCAGCAGAGAGAAAGAAGGAGCTCCTACCCTTTGCAACAACATGGATGGAACTGGAAAGCATTATGCTAAGTGAAATAGGCCAGGTGTTGAAAGACAGATACCATATGATCTCACCTTTAACAGGAAGCTAAACAACAAAATAAACAAGCAAGCAGAATAAAAACAGACACTGATATAGAGAAAAAGGGGGCAGTGACCAGAGGGGAGAGGGAAAGGAATTTAAGGGGGAAAAGGGAGAGGGATTTGGAGGAACAAATAGGAAGGACACAGGGACGAGAACTAAGGGGGTTGGAAATGGGAGGGAGGTGGGGAGCACGGGGCAGGGGAGGCTGGGATGGGAGAAATAGACAAAAAACTGTACTTGAAAAATAACTAAATAAAATTTTAAAAAATGACTACAAAAAACAAAACAAAAAAACACATATTACTCCAAGAAAAAAAAGTAGTGATTTCTGGTCCTGTCTGCATAGTCTACTGGACCTCCCCTGACAGAGGCAGCAAAGGAGACTGTTGGTGAGGCTGGCAGGCTGCAATCTGCACAGCTGCCCACCCTGGACGGCACTGGAGCCTCGAGAGTGCATCCTAAAGAGATTCCGCAGCACTACCGAAGGAGCTGGATCCGCTGAGTCAACCCTCTTTTCGAACACTGGGCTGTGTGTGGCCCTACATACCCATTATTTATTCAGGACATGTGCTTGATTTTTGTTTCAGAAGTGTAGCCTGCGTTGAAGTAACTCAAAAGTCAGATAGGAAGCAGGTTGAGGACCCAAAATTAGGTTGAAGGATCAAGACCTGAAATAAAGGGAACATCAAGTAAAGCCTTTGTGCTGTGAATTGAAAAAAAAAAAAAACAACAGTGTATGAATTGCCTAAAGAAGCACACACCAACTGTGTTACAACTTCATTTTGAAAGAACTTCTGGTTCTCCCATGCCTGCAGAGCCTGCCATGGAAAATCTCCCCAATCCCACCCCTTCATGCCACCTGCCCTCCGCCCCTCCCCCACTGCAGAATGTCTAGAGCCCTAGGTTCTGCTGTTTCAATTCAGACCCCTCCTTCCACTGGATGCTGAGCATGTGTTGGAGCAGATCACTCTCTGGATCCTGGACTTGGATTTTCTCATTGTGGAGGCTCCTGGGCAGGAGAGATCAGTGCCACAGCCTGCAGAGATGGCTTCAGAAGGAGGTAAGCCCTCAGGGTGGGAGGCATTCTAGAGACAGTACTATCTCTGAAAACTTAAGGATTAAAATATGACAGTTCCACCGGGGAAATATAGTTTGGACTGAAGTAGAAGAAGGAGAGAGCACTTGACCTCCACGGACCTGTCAGCCAGGAAGGCTGGGAACCTGTGGAAACCAGGGAGGGTGCTGAACAGGAGGGCTGCTGAGAAGTGATCAGGATGCTCAGGGGTAGTGCCCGGGTGTACAGAAAGGACAGCCACAGGCAGGCGCATTAGTTCTTTCTAGAGCAGAGACAAGCTGCTGCAGCCTGTGTGTGCAGGGAGCAGTGGATGTGTCGAGGTGGGGAACGTGGGGGAGGGGTACAGGAAAGCCTTGTCCTCTGTCCTGCTCTTCAGGCACCTGGAGCCCACCCCACAGTATCTTTCTAGGGGATTTGAACTGACTGCATTAGAGCTAATGGGGCAGTGGGGAGAGGTGGTCGTGGCCATGAAGTTGTCCAGTGTGGCAGTCTGTGGTCAGATCTCCAATGAAGTGTCATCCCTGAGAGCCAGAATGGAAGGTACCCCAACTGCGGCAGCCCAGGGCTTCCCCACTCCTTCCAGCACAGAAGTCACTTCCCCTGAGTCCAGGGAGCTGCTTGTTTTTTTTGGATTCCACAGGGACAGGGCAGCCAGGTAACTTCCACCAAGAAATGGGGCTGGGTTCCCTGACTTGTCCTGAATTGATCCCCCTATGTGGAAACTCAGTTCTTCAGACCTGCTTCCTTCCTCCCATTGCGTGTCTCATGGTATATTCGTTGCCCTCCCTTTTTCTTTTGCAATGAAGAGTTTGCTCATAGGCCACATCACTGCTTCACGGACAGAAAATAGCTGTGAAGTGCGGTTGGTTTTCCATTGAAACATCTGGAAAGGCAGATGCTTTTTTAAAGGGGGAACAAAATCAGGAAGATGATCTTCTGTATCATTAGGAAACATCAATGACACCTGTCTTGAGTAATTAGAGGCATCTGGTCAACTTTCACAACATCTGTCCCACCTCCCTGTCAAAAGACCCAACATAAAGTTTGCTAAGAACCTGGCTGGACCCGGTGGGAGTGGGCCTTGGAGACAAGGCAGGTCTGTACATCCTCACAATTGACTCTTTTGGATGCCACCCTCTGACTTCACCCCTCACATAGTCACGTGGCTTCAGAGGGCCTGGCCCCAGAGGGCCTGGCCCAGTTGCACCAAGTTAACGTCCCCCTGCACTGTCCTCACCATCACATGCTCGGGAGGTGGAAGCTGGAGTCCCTCAAACTCCCTCCTCTTCCCTCTCTGCCCCAGCTCACATTCCCAGGAAGGTGGTACTCAAGGTCGAGGGCACCTAAAGACCCTAGCAGCCCCTGGAGACTAAGGTGCCCAAAGTCATCCCCCCTGGGGCCTTGAAAGGGTACATGGACAAGCTGGTGCAGCTGGCCCTCTCAGCCCCGGGGCTGTCAGGTGGATAATTGAAAGAGGACAGAGAGGAGTTGCAGCAGGAGGATAGTGGGACCTACCTGGACCCTGTTCTCCTCATCTACATTGAGAAGCCATGTTCCCAGGAAGACTTTGTCATCAAAGTGGGCTGGCTCAGAGCTCTGAGGTCTATAGGATTCTATAGGCCTCAGACCAGGGTTCTGCCCAGGTGGATGGGATTAACCTCTGTTCTTTGTTCCTGAGCTAGGCGTGTCCATGACAGTGTGCATGTTGTATGTGTGCTGTGTATGGGTATTTCCTTGTGTTTGTCTGTGTGTATGTTCCTGTGTGTGTGTCTGTAGCTGATGACCATGAGTTGTAAAATGCTCACCTTGTAGGAGAGGGTGGGGTGGACTTTTGCTTTTCCAATTTTCCTCTTGGTTCTACTGACTCACAGGTCACTCACAGCCTCTTCCTTCTGTCCCAGGTAGCAGAGGTCATTCACCCCCGATTTCTGGCACAGTTGATTTCCCCTGTGCAAAGTTGTAATTCTTGTCCCGACCTGAGGAGTTGGGGCAGGAGAAACGACTCACTCCTGTACAGGTGATCCAGTGGTGGGATGGAACTTAGGAAAATGGGAGAAGGTCTCTAGATGAGCCATGAGAGAAACAGACTGCAGATGAATTACAGGAGGGGCCCCAGGTTAGACAGGGAGGGAGGGACTCCAGATAGAATGGTGACATGGGGAACCCAGGTGAGCCATGGGAGGGAGCACCAGGTAGACCAGGGAAGGCAGCAACTCAGAATGGGGGTGCACATGACTGTGTCCAGCCCACCCCTGCCTGTAGGCATGGCATGTGGAGCGGCCAGCTCTGGGGTGGGTGCAGTACAGGAGGACAAGAAAGAGGACGACAGGAAGGAGAGAGTGACAGGAAAGAGAGGGAAAGAGGAAGGAGAGGATGGAGAAGGAAGAACACAAAGATGAGAATATGGTGCAGGAGGACAGCAGGAGAGACACAGGTCTGTTTTGAGTTTGAGTCAATATGACACCCTCCTGCCCTCCTCCCCCCAGTGCCATTGTCCTCTCACTCACCTATGTCCTCTCACATTCAGGTGCAGAGCCAGTCACTGTCCCCCTCTTCCTCCCAGCTGGTAGAGGAGTGAGTCCTGGCCTCAAAGAAGGAGGAGGGTGTGCAGGCACCCCTGAGTCATTTTGCACCCCCACTGGACTCGAGTCCTTCTGAGTCTGCAGCCAGCCAGGACACCCATAGTTGTGACCATGGCCCCAAGCTGTGGGTCAATGACAAAGCCTCTCCACCAGAGACTGACTTCAAGGACTGCCAAAGTCACTGTCAAGCAAATACCTTCCTGTACAACCGTTAAGGCCTTTGCTGTCTTTTCAGGACATCAGGAGTGCTCACCACTGGTGGCTCAATGTCCCCTCTTTGCTACCCCAGGTCCCAGGCACATTTACTGTGCACTGGGGCCCAGGGCTGCCCCCATTCCCAGAGAGACCCCTCCTGTTAGGGAGACTGGCAGGCCAGTGCGCAGGTCCAGTGAGAATGAGGAGGACCTGCCCAGCCTGTCCTTCCTCTGAGACTCTCCCAACAGCCTGCTGCCTCCTGAGCTGTCTCTGAGTACAGTCCCTGCCTCAGGCCTTGCCTGCCCTGGAGTTCAGGGGGCTGCCCAGGCCCAGCCTCAAAAGAGAAAGTGTGACCTTTCTGTCACAGGGAATTGGAGGAAGCAGCACTGCAGCCAGTAAGGAGCAGTGGGGTGTCCGTCCCACTGCCAGACCCTGGAGACCCCAGCCTAGATGTGACCCCACTGTCCCCCAGAGGAGCCATGGGCTCTTCTCATCCCAACGCTGACCCTGACAGTACTACTTACACCGGTGGCAGGGAGGGACAGCAGGACAGTGATGGTGGGCGTGGGGCTGAGGTAGGAGCAGCTCCTCTGTGGCATTGTGTGTCAGTTGTAAATAAAGATGTTTCTGTTCGAAAATGTTCTAGTTGGCCTTGTCTTCATACTGGGGTCTGTGCTGCAGCTTGGGGAGGGGACCCGAGAGGGAGGGAGTGTACGGGAAGTCATGGAATCTATGGATTCACAGGTGACCCTTCAGTCTGTCCTTCCAGATTGACAGGGACTCCTTCCATCTGCTCCTGGGAGCGCACAGCTCTGAATCCCCAGCGAGCCCTCCCATCACTTCTACTCCCAAAGACGGACTGGGTGAGGGGCCTTCCAGAAGCAGTCACTTAGGTGGTGAGTGACTCTCAGCTCTTCCAAGGTACAAATACAGATTATCATTAGCAAAGAGGTGTGGCTGCTCAAAGACTATAACACATTAATTGCTTGCTGAGTGATATCAAAGCCCTTTCAGTAATAGGCAAGTATCAGTTAAGCTGTATCGAAAGCTGTAAAGCCATCCCTTCCTCCCCACTGTCTGGAAAAATTGTCTTCCATGAAATCAATCCCTGGTGCCAAAAAAGTTGGAGACCACTAAATGTAGCCCATAGAGTAAGACATAGATGTACAGTGTCCCCGAGATAGAAAAGTAGCTTCAATATATATATATATATATATATATATATATATATATATATATCACTATTTTCTTTATATATGATTATATAAACATACACAAAACATTCCAAATGCCCATCTGCAAAAAATGAAGAAATACATTGTTTTATGTGCCAGTTTTCCAACTTATTACTTCCAAATTACTCCTCATTGCTGCCTCTTTGTTAATGCATCTCGAACCTTTAAATAATGCTTTGCTTGCCAAGGGGAATGATGTTAAACTTTGAGCATCAGGCATTGAAGCGACATTGGAAGGAGCGGTTTTCCTCCCTGGTTCCCATGTGCTCCCTTGACAGCCCCCTGCATGCAAATGATTTCCCTGGGACCCTGCCCTGCACTTGGCTTCACCATTACCCCATCCTGTAGTTCCTGCCACTGCTATAGCACCTCCCCTGATAGTACCTTCCATTTCATGGTGGCCAGCAAAACCAGCAGCAGGAGCTTCTTCCAACACTGCCCTGGGCTGGTTTTGTCGTAGAATGCCTCTGCCGAGACACCTCCCTAAGAACAGCTTCTCACAGTGGCTAAAGTGCAAGATTCTGAGGAGGTTGGGGGTGTACAATTCAGCAAGTTCTTCTAGAGCAACACCACAGCTGCTGCTCTCATATTCAGTGAGGCCTGTGGTGGGCAGGGCCAGACCCTTCACTGGCTGCTATGTCTCAGACCTAGGGCCAGTGACCGCTTCTTGTCTCCGCTATTCTATTCTGTGGAGTTCTCTTTACCTTCTACTAGACAGCCCCTCCTTGTTTCATGCTTTTATTTTTTTATCAGTCATTCTTTGTATGGGCATTCCCTATTTATGTTTCTCTCCCTGGACTAGATCTTGAGTCATAAATGTCATAATCATGCAATGGAAAATGCTCTATGTAAGTGAAATCTGGTGAACTACAGCCACAATAATGCATGGAGCAACCTTCAAAGTTAGTGAAAAACTCAAGTCCTAGAATAATGCATATGGTATAGTCTTACTTATAAAAAGTTCAAAATACATAAGGCCAAATACACACAGGGGATCTAGCCAGGTGGTAAAATTATAAATAATAGGACAGGGCAACATAAAATTCAAGAATGTGAGACTCTGTCAGAAAAGGAAGGCACACTGGTGAACAGTACTTGGGGGAACCAAGGATATTGGTAATGTTTCATTCCTTCATTTGGTTATAGGGTTGGGGGAGGTCTACACATGCTGTTTTATTTCTTATTTTTCACTGTACATATTGTCTAACTAGTGTGATAAGAGAGTAGCCTCTCAGCCTCACAGGCCACACAGGACTTGAGGCCTATGGTTTGGAGCGACCCTGTGAATTGTTCCTTGGGCTCTTGTACAAACTGAAATAACCTGTGTGTGCATAGACAGGAGTAGGTTTAGAAGTGTTGAATTAGACTTGATTCCCAGATAACCCCACACAGGAGTTTTAACATATTAGGCTGTTCTCCTTAATTTAAACACACAGTTCAGCTTTCAGAATGACTTTATGTAATTATTTACCTACCTCTCTGTCAAACTTTGCTTAGACCTTTATATCTTCTGGGCAGAGGAGTAAACTCCTAGTTTTCTTCCCTCAGAAAAATGGTCTCAGACATGTCACAAGCCTTTCAAGAAGAACTTGCCCGTATCGTCTGCCTGAATTACAACAGAACACAGTTTCTGTTGGTCATGTCTCTGTGCGTGTTGGGAGAAAGCTGAAAATCCTGCATATTGCCCTGTGTGCAGGGAACCATCAGAGCAGACAAATTTCAAAACCAACATTCTTCTGAAAAACCTAGTGTCTAATGGCAGGTAAGCAAGTCTGTGGCAGTTCCTGACCTCTGAGCACTATAGGTGTGGGCTATACAAGGAAACAAAGCAGATCTTCTCTGAAGATGACAGGAGTCTACTGTGTGCAATGCTCCAGTGCTCTGGAGCACGAGGCTCACAGATACTGCCACACAGAAGAGGCTCATGAGGAAAATTAGGTAAGTGCTCCTTTGAGAACACAACAATAGCTGCAGGAGAGTGTAGCCAAGACAACATAAGGACCTGAGAATCATCATGGGGATTAAATCCTCTCCTTACTGAGGGTCAAGTACCAACTTAAGCACCAGTGATGGGTCCGTGAGGGTAACACAATTGTATGCCTGCCTTATGGTGGTTACATTTAATGGGAGAGTAATTAAGTTAATGGTCATCATTATTTTGATGATACAGCATTGTGCTCACGTCAGTGGGAAGACCTCATTTTGAGAAAAAAACTAAAATGCAAAAAAAAATTTCTATGGAAAATATATTTGTTAAAAAAGGACAAAAATGATTGGAGTTGGCAAGAGACAAGTATCACTAGCTTCAAATTCTGATGCAAAGTATACCTCACTATTGGAGAAGTAGCTATGCTAAGTAAAATCCTTATCAGTTTTTCTAGACAAATGACTATGTTGCACTGTGTGGTCATACAGCCTGAAATCTTCTAAAATTTATCATTAGTGAGGACAAATAGGGAACATCAAAATCCTTCTTCTCTCCCTAAAGTACATTTCAATAATATCCCTGATTATCTCCATCATTAACAGTCTAAAACCTAAATTTATTTGTTTTTCTGGTGCAAAAATTCTATTTTTTAAACAGTCCAAGGTCTCAAACCACATGAGATCTTTATGAAAAAAGATTCAAGAAATTCAAAGAAGTCTCAGTAAAGCTGGCAGAATATCTGTCTATTGGATGGTAAGTGTGAGACAGTATTTCCCTCTGAATCAGGCTGACACAGTCACGAGGGGAAAAGGAACCATGAACAGCAGTTTAAGATGTGTGATTGTGATGGTGAGAATTACAGGAGCTAGAGAATGATAGTGTTTCCAGTAAATGAAAGTGTAATATTTTAAAAATGAAGGAGACATAGTGAAAGAAGTAAAGAAAAATTGAGATTGGAGAGTGAGATAGTGAGTCAAGAACTTTGGTGAGGGAATAGTCAATGGAATAAGAATCAGTGTTCTTTAAAACCATAGGGAGCCTGTGGCTTTAGATGGAGAACAAGAGCAATCGACAGAGAAAAGGAGGGCAGAGAAAATGGCTGGTAGGATGGACCTCAGTTTGAGGGAAGGTGGTGAGAATTTCAGGAAGATCTTTTCTGGTGGATCCTAATCTTGGGAATAAAATGCAATAATACTTCTCAGAATAGGGAGAATGTAACACTGGAGACCAATTTACTAACCAAGAAGTCAGAATAATGCATGCAAGAATTGATTAATTGACAATGAATTTTAATGGCTTGCATGCAGTCTTTCAGAGTTGAGAGGCTGAGTATGAAAGAAATGATCAATGAGAAGCTATCTTCCAGTTTTTTCAGGAGTTCATTTAGTGGGTGGAGGTAGTTTGAGGGGAGCACATGATTGGATTTTGATATAGTTTAAAAGAATGGAAAATAAATGAAGGAAAGAGGAATAAATGAATGGTGTCTGACAAGTGGGGGAACCTGAATTTAGGACACGTGAAGCTTATTGGTAGAGAGCATGAATCAGTACAGCAGCTGCTGTTTCAGTGGAGGTGGGTAGGGTTGGCCCGAGTATGTGACCTAGGAAATCCATTGCTCTGCAGACGTATATCCATGGATACCAAGATGAAACCAGGGATTTTTCTGAGACATTGCAACTGGTTCTCCATGAGGGAGAAGAAACAATATTGAGAGAGTCTTAATAAGGAAGGGTCAAATATGTTTGAGCAACTTGAGATACTTGAGGCTGAAATGGCTGAAAAGAAGATCAACCTAAGAGCAATGTATGACAAGCTCATGAACATGTGTCTGAAACCAGATGTAGAGTTGCTTAAGGTAAGAATGGAGTGTTTGCCTGGGAATATTTTATATTATTGGAAGCTCACACCATTGGTGAAAATACATTTCCATTATGTATTTCATACCAAAGATATATATTTCTTTATCTCCTGAATCCATGGTGGAGAGCGGCTCCCACTTGGGATTAATATAATATGCTCTTGACCTGACCATACACAAACAAGCCTTATGGAATTGTGATTATGGAGCTTCCTCGAGGAATATTTTCCTTCTCAAAATCTACTTTTGTTTCTTCCTTCAGTAAACACCAGAAAGGAAAAACTATTTCAAGGTCTTTTTTTAAATATGTTTTTTATTTTATTGATTATGCCAATTCTGGTCTGCAAGTGGATAATGTAGAAACATTTTGTGAAAGCTCCCATATATTTCCTGCTTCTAATGTGACATCATTAGTTTCATTTGCCATTAATTTGGGTCATATTACTCTTTGTGGATGAGCCTTAGGAGACACTCCTTGACACAGAGCTGAGAAAAATAAGAGAGATTCCCTAAGAATAGTACAACCCTAACCCACGAAAGGATTGTGATGAAGAACATTCAGTTGAATGATGATGGCACCAAAAGATTAATTGCATCTTCCTCTTACAGGAGTGAGCAGGTGCAGCTACACATGCCTCATCCTCTGTGGCCCAGACTCCCTGCACCGCCCATTACTAAACTGATGGACAGGCTCAACAGCTCCCAAGGTGAGTGTTGCCCCATTGGTGGGACCACCTGAAAGGGTTCTTCAATTCTGGTTTTTTGTGGATGATCTTTTTCTCTTTCTTACAGAGGAGAACAACCTGCTGAGTGGCATGTATAGTCCTAGTTAGTCATGGAGTAACTATAATGTTGTAAAAGATAAAATTAAAACTGCTGTAACAATAGATGTGAATCAGTCCTTATCAATTACTTGTAAATATGATAAGTTACTTATACAGTGAGAAAAAAGACATGAACCAAAAAAGGGCTTCTTGAGTCCTAGAGATATCATCACATAAAATGTCAGTTGTTCACTGAGGCATAGAAAACTGGATGGCAGTTCAAGATATTCTAATTTAAAGCAACAGCGGTGAATTAGGTTTTAAATAGTTTTAGTAATTGGATTTATGACATCTGGGTATTTTATTACAATGGCTGTGATCAGAAATAATCATAAATGTAAAAAAACCTAAATGCAGGAATGGAGATTTTACGAATAATAACAATAAAGGAAATTGGTGTTTGGTGAGGCCATACATAGAGGTCCATGGTAAACCTGAACCTGGAGGGTCATATGTCAGGAAGAGGAAGAGGAAGTTCTCAGGTGGAACCAGTTATCAGAGGCAGACAATTAGTACGAAATCACTTTTAAGAAGGCTTTTAGGTTCCTTCTTTAGTGACAACTCACTTAATTAACTGGAATATTGCCAACTGGAATATTATCATATACTGGAAAAGTAATTTCTCTTTATTTAGCATAAAATTATTTTTGTCCTCCAGGAAGGAGTGATAGAGATGTTTTATTGCTATGGACTTGGTGGCATTGCCCAGGTGTCCAGCTTTTCAGGTGTCATGAAAAGTAACCAGTCAGAAGTAGACATGACCTCCTTCTCCTTTATCATCTCTGATTTTTAGGAAGATTTTTTCTATTATAATTAGATATTTGTGTCTTCAGGAGATATTGTTAGCATCACTCGAATCCAATATTTTCTATTCAGAACTGCCCTTCTAATAATGTTGGAATGTTCTCTTCCCAGTGAGACACTAGGGAGAGAGATGCTTTTTCTCATAGACAATTTTATTTTTAACACTGATTTTGACTTCAATATTCTCTTTTCTTCACAGTGGACATTTCCTTCACTAGTGAAATAACGAATTGCAATTATCAGGCTGTTTGATGGTCTGAGAAGTCTGAGGTTTATGCATGATCATCTATATGTGTCTCTGGCTCCTGGAACATTAAACTATTTTGCTGTATGTTGAGTGCAGGTCTTCACCTCCGGCAAACATTACTGGGAAGTGCACGTGGACAAGTCTTGGGCCTGGGCTGTAGGGGTCTGTACAGAGACCCAGCTGAGGGAGAATGGCACGCTGATTGACTCTCCAGATGCATTTCTCTTTTAAAGTGTGAAGGAGGAAAATCGCCACACGGTCTGGACCGCTGACCCAGTGACTTGTCAGTACATAGAGAGACCTCTGGGCAGAGTTGGTGTGTTTCTTAATGTAGACAGTGGGGGTATAAGTTTTCTGGATGTTGTGAAGTGTTCTTTCATAAAGCATTCCCTCATTACACCTTCCCCACTTCAGAGGTGTCTAGAGGACAGTTTCAGTGTTCTTTTTAGGCCTTTCATTTACACACTGGCTACACACAAGCAGGGCTAAGTCAGGGAACTGGCCCTGAACCTGGGACATCTACTCTGAGGAAGCCCTTCTTAGCTGAAGCCTATCAGTGATACTTTACATTCTTTTATGCTTTTTCTACCTTAATGTAACCTTCTTTTGCTGTGATTCAAGATAAAGATTGTAGAAAATGCAAAATTTTGTTAGTTTTATTTTCTTGACATTAAAATCACATGTGACGGCCTTTTATCTTGAATATATGCTATGATTTTTTATGTTTTGTGAGCATGCTGGAGTCATCAAAATATATAGCACTGTACAGTTACTATTCATGGCCAAAATGCAGGGATGCAAATTGCATATTCTGGACATATACGGTTAGTCTGTCATGCTGTGCCAGTCTGCACCTTCCTCCTCCTTCTTCCTCTTTGTGTAGTTAGTCCTACTGGTCCACTCACCTTCTAGGGAAAAACGGAGTTGATGAGACAGTTTCCACAGATGCTCAGAAGCAGGATAAGCCTTCACTTTAGAGAACCTAGATAAGCTGGTCCTTTTCTTTTTCAACAGAATAAATGATAACAGATACAGGGAGAAAGTGCTGTCTATTTACAGCTACATTCTTAGCAGCTAACATGATGGCTAGGACATCAAGGCTGCTTGGCAAATTGATGGATAAATAAATAAATGGATAAGAGAATTACCTTACTTGAAAGGAATTTTGCTTAAAATTTTTGTGATTTAAAGGATGATATAAAAAACTGATAAAATTATGCAAGTTGAGTTTAATCTCCATTGATTTCTCACTGGTGTGAGGAAGTGCTATTTCTATGTGGGAGGAAGCCACTCTAGAGACTCTCTAAGCACAGAGACCAGGTGTGTGTGCACATGTGTGTTCCAGTCATGGTGGTCATGCATCATTGTTAATTCATTTAGTATCCTCTTCAAGGCCAAGAGAGCTGGAATGGGAAACAGAAGATCAAACGCAGACACAAGCTGCCTGCTCACTCTCTCTTTCACCATCACACAGTGTTGTATTGGTTTTTGTTTCTATTGTTCTTCTCCCACACTAAATTGCAGGTTCACCTTATGTTTATTGTGATTTATGTTCTGAGTGTTACAGAACACATACACACACAGGGCCCGGGGGTACATATACCATGACCAAAAGGACCCCCTCTAGGTTCGATTGTCTGTGGCCATAGGAAAGATGTCTCTCAATGCCAGAGATTTGTAAAAAAAAAAAAAAAAAAAGAAAAGAAACAAAGAAAAAGAAAATGTGTATATAATGCTATACAGACTTGGAGTAGTGATCTAATGTCCTCATTAACATATCAAAGTCCTTTTGGATACCCACAGCTGCCCAGGGTGATTCCTTCTCCCCCTGCCCTAACTCGGGTACCATATCTCAGAAAAAGAGGCAAACGTTCATGATTCAGGCTGCCGGCACTACTGGCTCTGTCACCGTCCAGGCAGGATCTCTAATTAATCCAAAGCCACATGACCGCTTCTCATGGCCTACTGGCAAGAGTTCTTGGTACCCATTTTCTTCCAGGCAAAGTCTCTCCTGCTTCCCAGGCCACATGACAAAAGGGAGTACCCCAAGGTGCGTGGTTCTCTTCTACCAAAGCTTCCTGGGTCCCCACTCTGGCCAAAATCACATGGTTCTTTTAAGCTAAGCTGTGGAGGGCAGGGGTGGAGGCACGCCCCCACTCTGCCAAAGCCCAGTGAGGGTTCTCTGCCACAGCCGCATGGTGATTCCCCCTCAATGGCTGCTGTGTCTGGATTTAAATCCCCGTGACAATCTTCCTCTGTGCACCTATTTCCACCTTCTCCTACACTCAGTGATACCTGCCAGCATTCCTGTATTATTCCAAGTTTACTGGGCTGCCATCATGAGTCTGGGCAGGTGTGGCCCCATGTCATGGAGCCAATCTTCTCCAAGCTCTCATGTAGGCCCCATAACCTGGGGGACCTTCCCCTCAGTTACATATTGTGGGGGGAGTCCATTTCCACCCCCCTGGCTCAGACCATGGCCACAGCTACTTCACATATCTGTGCAACCAGTTAAAGGTTATAGATATGTTAAACGACCATGCCATGGATTGGCTGCAAAGCTGTGGCTGTACAAAACAGCTCTGCATGTTCCTGCAACACGTGTTCCTTCGCCCAACTCACACCCTTTTGGTGGGAAGGGGTCAGGATATCTTATATATCTTTCTAATATTTCCTAGACACCTTGACTTCTAGACCCCATTCCAAATCTCTATTTGGGGCCCCCTCTTGGCTGCACACTGTATCATATGTACAGCAGTGGGTAGTGGAAATAGTAACTAATACATCCTACTCTTACAATTTTCAGTCTAGTGGTAATAAGCATCTACCAATTTGATGAAAGTTTGCTGACTATTATGAGGACATGGTATAGTGTGCTCAGAGAGTTTGGATTAAGAAGAACTACAGTGGTCTGTAGGGTCAGAGATGACATCCTGTAAAAATGATCATATTAGCTGAGATGTGGTGGGTGACATGTTATATAACTTCTCATAATACAGCTGTCAGTTTAAAAAATGCCATTGAGCCATTGACTATATTCTAGGAAGCTCTCCATTGTAAACATTTTATTAAAAAAATTTAATAAACACATTTATACATTCAATGAGGTTATGCCATGTTGGAAACATACAATAATTATGTGTCCTGAAGTTACAATATGCTCCGAGGCAATCAGGTATCACCCTGCCACCTTACAGGATATTTCATAAAAATAGTTTCCTTAGACGTGAAACTGTATCAAATAAATGGCCAAAACTTAACTTCTCATGGAGAATCAAAGCATAGGAAAGGCTTCAGAGGGGAAGAAAAGGGAGACGAAAATAAACTACATATGAGGGAACGGTTTGAAGCATCATAGAAGCTCACTGTTGCATGGTCATAATCCAAAAACACTCCAATCTTACCCAGAGGCCTTTTCATATACTGAATGAAGGGTGGGCAGTTAGTGGAGAGACAATAATGATCATTCACTTTCCTAGAAAATAGGAAAGAAGCTTCTTCATAATCAACAATAATATCAGTACCGCTCGTCAGGGAATCTTTACAGACTCCCAGAATCCACCTCGAGCGCTTCAGCACATCCACCTCCCAGTAATGTCTACCAGAGGTGAAGGTATGAGTTCCCCATGCTGCAAAACCCTGCACTCTCTGGGGCTCTCTGGATGCGCTGTCACGGTCACCTCCAAACATCACACTAACACCATTAGGAAGGCTAATACAGCGACTGATGGCTTCTGCACTCAGAACTTTGTTCACTGCAAAAGAGGCAAAAAATCAGGTCAGTGAAAGGAATTTCCATGCCTTGAGAGACAGTCTCTTCATTTGCCCCCCTCTAAGGAAATACAAAATAAAGACAGTAAAGGGAGGTGAGACTGGCTCCTCTACCAAGCGCAAAAGTTATCCCTACCTCTACAGCACAGATATCCTTTAAATTATACAGAAGATAACACAGCAAACCAAAAACCCTCTGCATATACTACCAACTGCCTAAAGCAGTGATTTAATCTCAATCCCCAGATAGTTTGTTTCCGGTCACACCTAAACCTCTTTTGTCACTTTAGAAATCTCTTCTTGTGCTAATTGTCCTTGATATAAATAGATAGTTTAATAAATAGATAGCAATTTGCTATTTGAGGGTAATTATTGGAATGTAAGTTACACCTGTTACATATTTAAGAATCAAATTATTGGAGAGAAATTCCCATTATAGATAAATTAGAAGTGCCTGAAGAGAATGTTCTGGCTTTACATGATCTGTTTAGACCTCACATTCAGTCTGATCCTGATTTCAGCCCTTGGGGTCTAGACCTGCTGTCTAGGAGGGACCTTGTGTGGTGGGGCCATGCTCACAGATCCTTCTCCTGCCAGTGGTTTTGAAATTGATCTAACAGCATTAAAATTATTGTGCTTATGACGAGTTCAGTTATTTTTTGCACTTGCCAATCTTATGAATAATTGCACAAATATTTTTGTGCAATGAATGATAAATACACTTGCAATATACAACAGATTAAAAACCATCAATGCCATATTTAAACTTTCAAGAATAATTGAGCCTGAATAAAGTATAATATTGATTGTTAGTCTGAGAACTAAATATTCTATTTCTTACATCAAATGTAATTTAAAAAAGCATCTTGCTTCCTATTTTCAATATTCTATAAATTGCAAAGTTCAGCCTTGGTCATTGTGATATGACTAGACAGGACAAAGATAACAATTTTGGAAAGTCACAAACTACCTTCATGTCAGAAAAAATTTAAATAATTAAAATAGAAGACTCAGTCTGAAGAGCCACAGAAGAAATGGAGGCCTGATGACAAAGGGCTGACTCTTACCTTTGAAGGTGTTCAGCATATCTGGGATTCCAGTGACGTGCCATAAAGTGAGCTCTGGATTCACTGGCTGAGGCTTTTGCATCTGCACTGGTTCAGTTCTGTAAAGAATGACAGTGGAGGGATTTAGGGCCAAAGGTTAATCCCACAATCATTACAAAAATCACAGCTTGTTATCCAAGATATTTCACCAGAATCCTCCCATTCTGAGTTAATTGGGAATACATTGTATTTCACCCCATGGGCATATAAGAAATGTTACTTTTTAAAATAAATTTAAATTATATCAAATTTCAACTTTGCTATGTTTTTTCAGATATTATTTCATTTCTAAAATTGAGAAGCATTTCCTCCCTCTACTCTACCTCAGAGAATGCAAGACTCCTGGGTATCTTACAAAGAGCAGAAAATTCAGGAAAAGCCTGTGGGACTCGAGTCTGCAAGTACTGTATTTTTCCAAGTGTAATGCACACTTCTTTGCCCAAAGCATTGAGGGAAAAATTAAGATGCTCATTGTACATGGATAGTACTAATTCTATATCTATATAAATGTGTTTAATTCTTTTATTTTTGCTCCTATAATAGAAGTATAACTGTAAAAAGCAATGACAATAGCCATATGCAAACTAATAGCCTGGAATATGATCATCAGTTTTGTTTCTAAGTATAAATAAATAAATAAGTGATTTTAAAAATATTAAAATGAAAGATTTATTTCCTGAAAGTTTGGGCCAAAAACATGGGTATGCACTATACATGGAAAGGCATTATACACAGCAAAACATGGTATTTACCAATGAAACACTCAGCGTCCAAAAGGGAAATATCTACAGAGACAGAGATTTTTGTTCCTTTTTTTTTTTTGTCAAGCAAGTAAAAATCTCTACCCTCAAAGTCCTGCTGCTGAAGGTAGCACTTCCTGAGGGCACCAGGAGGTCACTCCCCCCTGAATTGCTATCTACAAGGAGGGACATGCAATGATGGAACAGGCTCAGTCATTGCTACCCCTGGGAACAAAAGCAAGGCCCCCCTCTCCTATCATAATCATAGGAAAGCTCCTTCTTCCTGTCCTTTTCACCTTTCATCTCCCTAATACCTTACCAAAATACTTTCAGAGACTTTTACTGAGATGTCTGGAGAGGATGGCAGTGAGTGACTAGAACCAAGCCCAGAAGGTCAGATGGTTTTTAGGTGTGTGGCAATGCTGACTCATAAGGAAGAAACTTCTGAGACCAGAGTGCTTCAGGGCTTTGTTAGTTTTTTAAACAAAATGGAAAATAGCCACAGAGGACAAGGTTTCTACCTCGAAAATTGTGTACCCACTTCATGAAGAAGACAAGAATTTTTAAGAAATCATCAGTATAAACTCACCTTTCCAATATATTTCCCAAATCCTGCAAAACAAACAAAAAAGAAGGTAAACATATGCGTTCTTGCTTTTAGGCCTTTTCTAGTATGTTTAATAGTTTTCAGAGTTTGTTTTAGAAAAATATTTTTTCTACTTTGTTTTAAGGAATAATCAGAGGCTTTTTTTTCTTTTTGTTTTTAAGACAGAGAGGGGAAGGGAAGGAGAAAGAGAGGGAGAGAAACATCAATGTGTGGTTGGCTCTTGAGCACCACCTACTGGGTATCTGGCTCAAAACCCAGGCATATGCCCTGACTGGGAATCGAACTGGCAACCCTTTGTTGGCAGGCCTACACTGAATCCACTGACCTACACCAGGCAAAGCCAGAGGGTATCTTAATAACAGAAATTACACTAAAACATGCTGAGTTTCCTCAGGGTGCACTGAGGGTGGAAGATATTAAGGCAGAAAATGAGAGGATGTAACAAGTTCTAATTTTCCAGTCTCACTCATTGCCCCATCTTATTCTCAAGGAAAGATCCAACCAACCACTTACAATAACAATTAGAGCAAAACAGTGAACCATATGAACAACAAAGAGAGCATTAAAATTGATTACCACATTCCATAAATCTTGCCTACAAAAAGGGCAAAACCTCAATGTCTTTAGCAGGTTGCTTTTGTGTGGATAGCAGAGAGTGACAGTGGATTATGGGAACACAAATAGAGAATTACCACAGCAAAGTTCATGTTCCCTGGTCAGAGACTGACCGATTTTGAACACTCTCTGAGTAGATATTACTTTGGATTATACTCAAATCATTACTAAAAGGATATGAGTAAATAAGTGACTGACTGGACTGGCTTGATCATGGGAGCCAAGGAAAATTAATGCTTAGCTGAGGGTAATGGTATCCTATATGCAGGCAACATTTCAATGTTAGGCCAACATTGCCCATAACAGGATTCCTGTCTGAGGATCGACCCTCCCTTCTCACCTGGAGCAGCTCCAAGTTAGGCTTGTGGCACATGTCAGTCAGCTCTCTCAACACTCCTTTCAGGCTTTCTTTCTGCTGGGTCATCCTGAGTTCGCTCTCCTTGAGTTGTTGGAAGATCTCCTTTGCTTCTCTCTCCATTGTGTTCAGATGGAGTTGCTCCTCCTCACAGAGAAACAGATGTATCTTCTGATATTCAGCTTGGATCATCACCCTCCTACTGGCCATGTAGTCCTACACAGATAGTGGAACAAAGACATTACCTGTCTCCACTCTCAGTAGAAAACTTCAAACTTGAAATATTTCCTCAGACTTATCAGAAAAGGACTTGATGAACTTTCTGCCTCATGCCTCCAAGTGTCTTGAGTATTTGCTAGTCCTTCTGTCTATCCTGACCTTATGATCCCAGTCTTTTTTCCCTGTTAAATTAATCCCTCCAAAGGGCCCCAGGCTCTCTCTCTGTGATGCTTCTTCAAGGTTCTTACTCTAGTAATTATTTCCTCTCTGTTACCTGCTTTCTCTCTTGTTCCTTTGCGTGCCTTTTCTACATATTTAACAATATTGAAGTATATGCCATATCATACTTATTTTCTAAAATTCTCTACTCTTTACTCTATGTACTGCTTTATTTTTATTCTGTCCTTTGGAGTCAAACTTAGTGTGTTGTTTTATTTCACTCAGTTTCTGAAATATTTACCAAACCTTCAAAATTGTATAGGGAATACCTTTCAAGCCTTGCTCACCATGTACACAGTTGACCCTTGGACATAGATTTGAACTGTGAGGGCCCACTAATACTCTGATTTTATTTCAATGAATACACAGCTGACTGTCTGTGTCTGTGAGTTTCCTAACCATGGATTCAGCCCATAGCATATCAAAGATGATATTTTTGATCTAAGACTGGAAACCCGTGAATGCAGATGGCCAACTATATGCATTAATTTATACCATTTTATATAAAGATGTGAACATCCTTGAAATTTGGGAATTATGGATGCTGAAAACAATGCCTTGCAGATAAGAAAGAATGAGGAAATTCTGAGAGAGTTCAAAGTTATATGTGGATAATTGACTGCAAGCCCTCTGCTTGTCCAAGAATCAACTGTGTTCATACTCCTTGCAGTAGCTTCTGTTGGCTGATTATGTATTTTTTGGCTGTTACATATGTGTTTAATGATATATTACTAAAACCCACTGCCTTTTCATAGGTGGAAACCATTACCCTGTAACTGGTAAGTTGAATTTGGCTAAAAATCTAAGCCAGCCTTTTTTCAATCTGCATACATTATAAAAATAAACAGAACGTGTTCATTTGTACCTTTAATGACTTGGTTTTGCTAGCTTCTTGCTTCAGATTGTTTTTCATTTCTTGAGTCATGTTCCATAAAGAGTTCATTCTCTTTAGAAGTTTCTCCTGCAAAATAACCATAAGCTTAAGTGACAAAAAGATGATATTGTAAATGTTATTCAGTTATTTATGGTTAAAGGCAGTGCCTGGGAAAAGTCACCCTGAATTAAAATGGAGAGGTCTGGTTTTCTTTATATTCATTTAATTTGATTCAAATATTTGGAATATGAGAGGTGACAGAAACATACAATAAAGAGTTTTGGCGGGCCCTGCAGATAACATTCATTTCTTAAGTAATTGGCAACCAGATTTTCACATATCATGACTATAAGCAGGTACAATTTGCATCAGAAGCCACTGTTCCTGGTGCGGGCCTCCCTCCCCACAATTGCACCAATTCTACATACTTAGACAGTACTTTGCAGGCAATGTACCTTAGTAAAGGCTCAACACTACTTTGATTATAGTGCCCAAATTGTTTAATAGCATTGCACAATTACACTTGTAATTTGGAATTTACATAGAAACAGTACCATCTCCACTACGTCCATTGTCATTCCCTTCCTTATCATCATTTTCATCTTTCTCTCTCATTTTGGAGCTTATACCTATCACATTGCACCTACCCTGTACTCCTCAGCAGACCACTGTATTGGACTGTGGCTGTGAGCTGCATGCTCTGGGGATTCAGAGCAGACTGCACAGAGCAGGCCCTTCTCATCCTTGCAGAAGAGCTCCTTTGCTTCTTTGTGTGCCACACAGATCTGCTCCTCAGAGCTCTTGATGTAGTTAGCTCTGGCCTCTCTGGCAATGGAAGCCAGGCTATTTAGTGCAATGTTGGTTTTGAAATCTGGCTTCTCTGAGACTCCTCTGCACTGAGGGCAGTGCCTTGGTGTTTGGGCATCCTCCCAGCTGAGGTACAGGCAGAGACGGCAAAAGCTGTGCCCGCAGTCTATGGTGACAGGGTCTAGGAAGTAGTTCATACAGATGGAGCAGGTGAGATTATTCTGGAAGGCTGATGAGGTATCTGAATCCATGTTTCTGAAAGTTAAAAAATAAGAAAGAAAGAGAAAGTCATTTTGTCTCCCAGATGATGAAAGAAAAATTTTGGAGAAAGGCTTGCCTACTTGAGCTCTATTTACCTATTAAATAGGAACCTGATTTACCCATTAACTTACTTCCTGTACAAATCTAGACCTGGTAAGTCTAGACAGGTTGGGTGTTTTCCTTATGCAAGTGAAAAAAATGAGACAAGAGAGTCCTCAGCATCTTTCTTTGTTTAAAATAAACAATGATCTCAAATGCAGGAGGGGAGATGGAGGTGAGGTAGGTGGGAGTGGAACCCAGCTCTCCCTATGCCCTGGCAGATCTTTTGAGGAACAGAGAGAACAACCAAATGGAATCCCAGCTTATATGAAGTTTGGAGAAGTTGCAGAAGACATTGCAAAACCTATGTATTATTGTAAATAATTGCAGAAGATATTGAAAAACCTCTGTACTGTTATAAATAATTGTTGTTCTATACAATTGTACATACTACACAGCAACCCTCCATTTTGTTAGCCCACTTCATTTACTCCTAATCATTATTGTTGTTGTGGTTAAGTGTATTCTCTCTTACATTACACCTACTTTCTATACATTAATCTCACTATATCTCATCATTTAATTTGGCACAAGTGCTGTTTTCTGGATTCAATGCACAATCATCTTCCCCTCTAACAAGAGTCTTATCTCTCTTTCACTATTTTTATAAAGTGGCTTGTTGGGTGAAATATCACAGTTAATGCTATATTTATCCAAAGAATCTCCTATCTCTTCTCTACTTGCTGGAATTTTAAATCCCATAAAATACTCTTCTGCTGTCTTAACCTGTTTTGCCTTCCCCCTGCCTCTGCTCATGCACAAGAATAGGTGGGAGCTACAAACATCAGTTTTCCTGCTGGAAGAGAAAAACCACCAAGAAAGGAACCACCAAAAGAAAAAAGCCCAAGTACAACAAGAGAGCCCACACAAACAGAAGAAAGGCCAAACCTAGAATGTCCACACAAGGAGACCAGAGATCATACCACTGAATCTCATAGAATTCCTACCAGAGAAGTTCACCCTCCAAAGACAGTTAGCTAAGTGAAACATCAGGAAGCACAGAAACAAAAAGAGTCACCTAAAATGAGGAGACAAAAAAAGAACAAGAACTCAAAAGGAATGGAAGACTCCCCACTAAAAGAGCTGAAAGAAATGGAGGTAACCAAACTATCAGGTATAGAATTTAAATGAATGATTATACAGATGCTCAAAGAACTCACAGAAAACTACCACGAACTGATTGAGAACTACATCAGCATGAAAAAGGAAATAGAAGCTATATACTAAAACCAGGAAGAAATGAACAATAAAATCTCAGAAATAAAAAAATACATTAGAAAGATTTACAAACAGGCTTGATGGAGGAGAGGATCAAATCAGTAATGTGGAGAAAAAATGTAGAAAAAAAACACCCAGATAGAACAAGAAAAATAAAAGAGACTCATATAAGTCAAACAGGTGGTAAGAGAGCTTCAAGACAACATGAAATGCAGCAATATCTATATAAGAAGCATACCAGAAGAGGAAGAAGAGCAAGAGATAGAAAATGTATTTTAAAAAGTAATGATGAAAAACTTCCTTGATTTGATGAGAGAAACTCACACTAATTCAGGAAACACAGAGTCCCGATCAAGATGAAACCAAAGAGGCCCACTTCAAGACACATCATAATTAAAATGGCAAAATTCCAAGACAAAGAGAGAATCTTTAAGGCAGCAAGAGAGAAATGGGAAGTTACATACAAGGGATCCCCAATAAGGCTAGCAGCTGACTTCCCAATGGAAATGCTCCAAGCCAGAAGAGAATGGCAAGAAATAGTCCAATTAATGAAAACTAAAGGCATGCAAGCAACACTATTTAGCAAGGCTCTCAATTAAAATAGAAGGCCAAATAAGGAGCTTCCCAGACAAAAGAAGTCTAAAAGAATACACCTCCACCAAACTAGCTCTGCAAGAAATTTTGAAACCTAGACAAAATGGACAACTTTCGAGAAAAATATAATATTCTAAAACTCAATGAAAAACAAGCAGAAAGCCTGAAGAGACCAATAAAAGATGATGAAATTGAAGCAGTAACCAAAAACTTCTGATACACAAAAGTCCTGGACTGGATGGTTTCACAAGAGAATTTTGCATAGCGTTTGGGAAATAGTTAACCCCTATGTTTCACAAACCATTCCAAAAAATCCAAGAAGTTGGAAGACTCCCAAATTCATTTTATGAAGCCAGCATCGTCCTAATCCCAAAACCAGAAAAAGACACAACAAAGAAAGAAAACTTCTGGCAAATATTGCTGATGAAAATAGACATTAAAATCCTCAATAAAATATTGGCAAACCGAATCCAGCAATACATTAAAAAACCATACACTATGAGCAAGAGGGATTCATCCCAGGGATGCAGGGATGGTTCAATATTCGCAAATCAATAAATGTAATATATCACATAAACAAAAGAAAAGACAAAAATCACATGATCATATCAATAGATTCAGGAAAAGCATTTAATAAGGGACAACACCCATTTATGATAAAAACACTTAGCAAAGTGGAAATAGAGGGAGCATTCCTCAATAGAATAAAGGCCAATTATGAGAGCTACAGCCAACATCATACTCAATGGGCAAAACCTAAAAACTCTCTCAGTAAGATCAGGAAAAAGGCAAGTTTCTCCCCTTACATCAATTCTATTCAGCATAACATTGGAAGTCCTAGCCACATCAATCAGGCAAGAACAAGAAATAAAAGATATCCAAATTGGAAAAGAGGAAAACAAAACTGTCATTCTATGTAGATGACATGATAGTGAAATCAAGGCATTTTTGTATACCAACAATGAAACAGCAGAAACAGAAATCAGGAAACAAATCCCATTTGATATGGCAAAAAGAAAAATAAAATTCCTATGGATAAACCTAACAAGGAAGTAATAGGTCTATACTCAGTAAACTATACGACACTGAAGAAAGAAATTAAGGAAGATACACACAAATGGAAACATATACTATGTTCATGGATTGAAAGAATTAATAACATCGAAATGTCCATACTACCTAAATCAATTTACAGATTCAATGCAATATTTATTAAAGTACCAATGGCATGTTTCACACATATACAACAAATACTTCAAAAATTTATTTGGAACCATAAATTACTCTGAATAGCAGCTGCAATTTTGAGAAAGAAGAGCAAAGTAGGAAGGATCACAAGACCTGATATCAAAATTTATTACAAGGCCACTGTAATCAAAACAGTCTGGTACTGGCATAAAAACAGGCACAGAGGCCAATGGAACAGAATAGAGCACCCAGTAATAAACCCAAATCTCTTCAGTCAATTAATATTTGAAAAAGGGGGAAGCAGCATAAAATGTAGCAAAAATAGCCTCTTCAACAAATGGTGTTGGCCAGCTACATGCAAAACAATGAAACTAAAGGCCAACTTACACCATGCACAGAAATAAATTCAAGGCGGATAAAAGATTTAAATATAAGTTGTGACACCACTGCAGTCCTATTGTTGGGGGAAATTGGTAGCCATTTGAAGACACAACACAGGGACTAGAGAGTGATTTCTTTTTGCAGGTCAGAGGCTTGTTTTGGCCCAAAGGGGCCAAATGCCTTTTTCGAGGTCTCTGGACTATTTATCATCTACATGCCAGAGATAATGCTCTGCTCCTTCTGCTTCTGTAAAGTGCCTCCTGCTTTTGTGCCAAAAGTAAGGGTCCAAAGGACGGGCCCTTTCTGGCTCTATAAAAATAATTGCTCCCCCACTGCTGAGAGCCCAAAATTTGGAAACTCACTCCTCGGGGAATGAACGTAAAATAGACATTCCATTCCATACAGAGAAAAGTGGCGAAGTTGTTTTCTGTAACACTATAATCAGGAAAATCTCAGACATTCCATGCAGCAGTATTTTCCCTGATCTGTCCCCCAGAGCAAGGGACATAAAGGAAAGAATAAAAATGAATGGGATCTCATCAAAATAAAAAGCTCCTGCACAGCTAAAGAAAACAGCATTAAAATGAAAAAAGAACCATCTGTATGAGAAAACATATTGGCCAGTGATACCTCAGACAAGTGTTTGATCTCCAAAATATACAAAGAACTCAAATGACTCCCCACTAAGAAGACAAGAAATGAAATTTTAAAAAGGGCAAAGGACTTGGACAGAAACTTCTCCAGGGAGGACATACGGAGGGTCCAGAGACACATGAAAAGATGTTCAGTATTACTAGCCATCAGAGAGATACAAATTAAAACCACACTGAGATACCACTCCACACAAGTCAGAATGGCCATCATAAACAAAGCAACAAATGACAAGTGTTGGAGAGGTTGTGGACAAAAGGGGACTCTAGTGCACTGTTGGTGGGATTACAGACGTACAGCCACTATAGAAAACAGTATTGAATTTCCTAAGAAAATTAAAAATGGATCTGCCTTTTGATCAGGCAATTTCACTGCTAGAATTATATCCTAAGAACCCTGAAACACCAATCCAAAAAAACATATGAACCCCAATGTTCATAGCAACACAATAGCCAAGTGCTAGAAGCAACCTAGGTACCCATCAGTAAATGAATGGATCAAAAAACTATGGTACATTTACACAGTGGAGTTCTACACAACAGAAAGAAAGGAGCCTCTACCCTTTGTGACAGCATGGATGGAATTGGAGAGCATTATGCTAAGTGAAATAAGCCAGGCAGTGAAAGAAAAACACCATGAACAGGAACTTGATCAACAAAACGAACCGTCAAGCAAAGCATATCCAAAGATATCGAAATTGAGAATAGGTTGAGAGTGACCCGACAGGGAGGATAGGGAAAAGAGTGACGGGTTTACAGGAACAATTATAAAGGACATGTGGAAAATGACAAGGGGTGGGGGAGGAAACAGGGGAGATAGGTGAGGAGGGCTGGTGCGGTCGGGAGGGGTGAGGGGAAAA